CAAAAACAAATGAAGTTGACATATTAAGCCAGAAAAATAAAAAATTTAAATCATATGGTAGTTCTGCCCTACCTTGAATTCATTGTACCATGGTTGTAATGAAGAATTCGCCCTAAATGAATGCAACAACAAATTTGTTTATGTTGTCTTCCCTAAAAGTACCTTTTTATAATATTTCAAATAATTTAAAAGCAAGTTAAGAGTGAAACCAGTAGAAAAATTAAAAGAAAATGAAGGAAGGAGGTTAGAATGGAGTGCAGCTTTAAGAATTAAGTTAGCCTCAACATCTAAGATTCCCAAAGCACATCACGGGAAGTAGTGCAAGAATTCGACTCTTGTCATTTGCAGTTTCGGAAAACTTTCGGTTTATACCAGTAAAATATAGTCATTATAAGTTTCTTGGTTTAAAAAATATCGCAATACTACAATTAATACTTATTTTACTCTTATTTGTTTTACAATAAAAACTTTTATTGCGACGTTCGTTTACGACGAGAGGCACACAAAATAAAATGTAAACAAACACCTCGTTTCTGATTGGTTGAAACAAATTTGCCGCAACCTTTAAATGTCATGGCGAATCTGTGTTTTTCGCCTTAGATGCCAATTTTGACATTTGAGGGGACCACAAAAGTTGCTTTATTGTAGCAATTCGCCGATGCGGTTACCTGTTAGATCTACCTTGGCCTAGCCATTACTTCAAGCTTCTTATGTACTTAGCCCTTTATAGTGTCAAATAGACTTTTAAAATTGTAACAAATGGTTTTGTTTATTTTATATTTTTTACAAAGTTATTAGATTGGGAACCTCATAAAAAACATGAATGGAATCTTGGTGTTATTCCACAAAAATTGATCTAAACTGGTTGGACACATGACATAATTACAGAAGATGGAACAAATTTACCCCCTAAGAACATTTTTGTGCCCCTATTCTGTCTGTGTGTGCATTGTTTTGAATAAAAAATTGGATTTAGGAGGTAGCTTTGTTCTACCTTCAGTTCAGTGCAATGCCATCGATTATGAAACAAAGAAAAATAATTTACCGCACAGAAAGAGAAAGGATAATCCGGTTTTTCAACTTTGCGAATCCTAATATTTGCATCAGTGCTAGGTCAGTTGCGAAAATGGACAATACTCTCATAAAATGTTATGTAAATGTTCGATTGTTTTTAAATGACACACATAACAACATTTTTATTTACCCAAAGTCTGGTGCGAATATGAAAGATGGAATATATCAGTCTACTCCTTCTGGTGCCTCCCTCACAGAAGCGTCAACATTTTGAATTTCCATGAAGCTCATCAAACACGAAATTAACATCCAATTCCATTCAGACTTGGCACATCTCAATATTTATATCAACACGAGATCTGTTATAAAGATGATAGAGATCGAACCATTCCACACTATATTCTTTATTAACCCAAGGTCTGGGGTTAAAATGGGATATATCGGTCCACTTCTTCTGGTGCCTCCCCCGCAAAGGAATCATTGAGTAAATATTCAAATTCAGATTAATCAAAATGCTTATCACAATGTTCTATGGACAAAAATTACACTTTTTGTAGCGAATCTTTAGAAAATATAGAACTTAATTTTGAAAAGAAATTAGACTTTTCATTCAATTTTCGCGTTTTTTATGTGATTTACATATATTATGCTATGTTTATATTAATATATGCTATACAATAAAGCGCTTCCTTTCAGATAACAAATTGTGTGAAGTGTCTCAAAGTATGTTAAATGGTTAAGAGAAATGTAGAAAAAGTAGCTTCAAATAGGATTGTAACACTATGTCTATACCAGCCTTTACTTGCATGGGTCTACTAATCACAATACAATCATATACGACCAAATTCGATGAGCACCATTTTGGAGCTAGAGTCTTGTAACTACAAAATTTGAAAGAAAATTGTATTTTCAGAACCTGCTTTAATCGTTGTTCCAATCCAAAACTTAACAATGTATTCCACACAAGCGCTGTAATCACGAATTTCAATTTTATGCTTTGTTCCAGTACCAGCAAGAATCTATTTGTTTTGATTTTTTTTTTTTTCGATATCATAAAGGGTTATCGTAGTAAAAATGTTTACATTATTGAAGTTCTGGAACAGGCCAATGTTTTGAAAACATAAGAAAATGTCTGGAGTTTTCCCCATTTAATGAATGAGAATCACACTTTTCTATATTCTTCATCCACACATGGTACATATTTATAGCCTCCACCTTGGAAGGGAGGGTATATTAACTTTGCCATTCCGTTTGTAACATCCCTAAATATTCGTCGTAGACCCCGTAAAGTATATATATATCTGCATAATCAGCATAAAAATCTAAAATCACGATTCAACTCACATTATTTGACGTAGATCGCACATCAGAACAATTTGTATTGTGTCTAGGATGGATGGTATTGAAAATTATACATATCGGTCCACGTTTTGGTATAGTCCCCATATAACGGTACCTCCGAATATTCGGTATTCTGATGATTTTTGCCACATTTTTTCACGGATTTGTCTGAAAATTGGTATTTGTAGGTCATAATGGGTCCTAGTTCGTGTGGCAAAATATTGTATGTATAGGTCCACGTTTCGGTATAGCCTATATATAATGGTACCTCCCGATATTCGGTATTTTGATGATTTTTGCCCCATTTTAACACGGATTAACACGGAATTTTGAGGGGTTTCCACAAAATCGAATCCAAGATAAAGGGACAATATTTTTATATTTCAAAATTATCAATTTTGTTGCCCGTTAATGTGAAAATGATGCATTTCTATTGTTCCAGCAGTATCGATCCAGTTCCATAGTGCGGGGTCGACCATGTGATACCCTATGTATGTACAATATGTTGGAAGATAGTGCTTTGAAATAGTGTTATAGAGCCCTGCTCAAACGTTACGCTTATTTACGCACTCCGCTGTGTTGTTATGTATTCGAAATAAATTCACAGAAGTCGTGGTCCCTTTTACAGCTAAATATAATGTAATGGTCATCCAAAATGCTGAACTTTTCCCTGTACCTAACTCTCTCCTCAGAGCGATGGAAAATCAGAAAAATCTTACTATTATTATTTTTTTGTCCATTTCCACCCCTATATTTACATATCTCTGATACTAACGCTACCCCATGCAAAATTTCGTGAGAATCGGACGATAATTGCGACCTGTATATAGTACCTTCAAGACATAGTGTTGGGGGTGTAAAAAATTAGAAAATGTACATTTCAAAATTGTAAGTCAAATTTAAAATATCGCATGCGATAAAAAATATAACAATAATTGAAAAAAATATTACAAAAAATATTCACTTTTTAGCATTTTTGCGACTTTCATAGATTTTATCCTTTTCTGGCAGGAGACCATTCCGAATGGTCCAGAATTCTTTGATATATGAGATTGTAAATATTTTGCTTTGGATATGAGCATCAATGTAACGATCAGAAGTGACATTTTCGTGTATTTGTGATTTCGTCAGGATTAAAAATATTAGAGGTTAAGTGGAAATTTTCGTATTTTCTTATATAAAATTTATGGTATATCTTAGCCGCTAAATATGGTCCGATGACCATCCAAATTAGTAGGCTTCTGCAAAGCCCTTATGCAAAATTCCGCGTCGATTGGTCTATATTTGTGGCCTGTAGAGCAACAGCAAAACCAAGAATTTCTGTTTTTGGTCCATTTCAACCCCTAAATATTTTGCGATCATCTCCAAAACCAATAGGGTTCTATTCTGGCCCTAACCCCACCTCTCTCTTTCGTGAGGATAGGGCCATAATTGCGACCTATACCTTGATTACAAATTAACATGGACAGACGGACTGGCGGACATACATAGCTAGATCGACTCAGCTCGGCGAGATGGGAAGATCCATATATACTTTCCTATGTGGGAAATCAATATTTCGAGGTGCTACATCATTTTTGGCCCAATCAAACTTATAGTACCCCCAACACGTAGTGTTGTACGGTATAACAAGTTAAAAAGCATTAAGTTCGGCCGGGCCGAACTTTGAATACCCTCCACCATTTGGAACGAATTTTCATAAAATAAACTCCTTAAAAAATTCTGTTAAAATTTTAAAAATACCGAATATAGCCGTTTTATTGGGGTCTATACGACGTGGACCTACATAGGCATTGTTTGTCATAAGCCATTAACATATTCAAATTCGAAACTTGAAATAAACGGTAAATAATGAAGCTAAAATCATCAAAATATCGTATATAGGAAGGTAACGTTAGATCGGAGCTGTGCGAACACCTGGAACAGCATAGACAATTTTCTGCCACAGGCTGTAGCATCCATTACGAACTTCAAATACGACATCTCAAACAATTTCGGTGGGTTTTGTGCCTAAACTCGTCAAAATACCGAATATAGAAATGTACTGAAATATGGGACCTATACGAAGACCTGGACCTGCATAGACAATTTTCTCTCACAGACTGTAGTTCCCATTACGAACTTCAAATACCAAATTTGAAACAATTCCGGTGAATAATGTCGCTATAATCAACAAAATACTGAATGTCTGGAGGTACCGTTATATGGGGGCTATACGAAAACGTGGACCTACATGACCCATTTACGAACTTAACCTGCCTACTGGAAAAATAAACATGTGTGCAAAATTTTAGCCTTCTATCTCAATTCGTTCGAAAGATAGTGTGATTACAACAAACAGACAGACAAACATCGACTAAATCGACTTAGAATTTTACGCTGATCAAGAATATAACATGACATGAGTATTTCGAGGAATTACAAACGGAATGACAAAGGAATACCCTCCATAGTATGGTGGAGGGTATAAAAACATGAGGTAAAAACCCATATACATATCAATTCAAATTCTTTAAAATAGTTTGAAAATTGTTTTAATTCCACAATAGATGTTGCATTTGCCATTCTGCGGAATATTAGAGTTTTGAACAATTTCGACTTGTGTCTACAACATTTTTTATATAATTTAAATGAATACAAAGGGATTTTCAGTATTATATTAAATACAGTTTATTGCTATTTTCAATTATTAAAACTACTAAAGTTTAAATAAAATTTATTGTACTACAGCTAAATATACTTTGTAGAGCTTTAAATGTGTCGAATATATTTACACATACGATGAGAGTGTGAAAGGAAGAGGGCAGGTAAAGGGATAAGATCTTAAATGACTATATGTGGAAAAGGAAACTTAACCGATTGGTCAATCGCACGAGCGTTACATGTTCGCTGACAATTGAGTAAATTCAAGCTAAATTCATAAGGAAACTATTTCGATCCTTGGGATGGCTGGCATTTTCACCGCCGAATTCTAATAAAGGTATGTTTTATGTATGATAAGATTATTTGTTTTACTTACAACTTTAATTAATTTGAAATTAATATTTAGTTTGAATATACCTAAATAAGTGTCTTTTCTAGTTGCTGTTTTCAATAACGATCATGATGATGATCAAGCAGTATATTCTATATAATTCAATCTATATTGGAGACCTATATATTTTATTTTAGAAAACAGTATATTTTTTACTTCAGAACAACACAGAAATGGAACGGGACAGAGAAGTAAAAAAAAAAAAACAAAATTTAACATTATCTTCAGTGATTGTTTGTTCATCCCTTCAATTTAAACGTATTTAAGAAAACGAAAGCAGATGTAGAATTGAATAATTCTTTTGTCCTGTAATTTGTCTGTATAAACTAGAGGGGATATATACTACTTTTCCTTCGCTTTTAAATAGCAATAAGTAAATACGTTAGTATGGATGATATCAAATATAAATGGGAGTCTATCAACGATACATTTAGTCTTGTATGTATCCGTTTGGCTGGGTATATCTTATGGCTCCTTACATCTTAATACTTATTTATAAATATACATAAAATGTAACATTAACTTATAATTAGTTAGGTATATGTCGGCAAAGACGTGGGTGTGGAGAAGAATGTGTGTTTACCTGGCCAAGCAGTTAACCGAAACGTCGGGTGTCTGTTAGCGTACGTTCTTGAAACATTTTATGGTTCTTGTCTTACACTAAATACAAATTGCATCGTTTGATTGTTCAAACAAGTTTAAATATTTACAAAAATCGTTGAGAACTCTCGGTGTGCCACTAAGTAGGCTCGCCGGCTTTCTATTTATAATGGACTATGTCTAAATGAAGCTGAAGGTTTAATCAAGTTATTGATGTGGTAGTGTATACGTTATTTATTGCCGTCAACGTCTCCTTTGCTGAGTGCTACTTATAGCTGAGTCTGGTGGTGCGGTTGGATATGTTTTGTTTTCGCCTCCAAAGTAGTATTTATGTGTGCGTTTACGAACGTAGAACTAACAGTTGTAGTAGTTTTCGTTTGGCATGTGGCATATTCAATCCTTCCTTCCGTCATCTATAGTTGAGTAGAAATCACTGCGGTGTGCTAAGCAAACAAAATAATGAAACCCAATACACTTATAGATGTGTAGGATCCTTAGCAATAAGCTAGTAGTTTTGACATCTAAGGTGCTTTCGATTTGTGTCAAAACACTGATAGACAACTGACAACTTGCCCTTTGGATTGTTGTATTTTAACTGTTTTCTATTTACAGGTATTGTTATATCTTTTTAAGACGTTTGTGAGAAAATGGAAACGACATTCAATGTTTCGCTTCATCCCTATTCGACTGGACTCGTGGTAGAGTGGATAAATAATAAATTTGCCTATGACGTCATCACGGTCGTGTTAGGTCCGTTACTCAAAGCAGGATTTATGTGTTTCGACTTCGCGGGTAGAGTGTCAGAATCATGCGTTGTAAATTCATGTTCTTCAGCTGCCGCTGTATCCACAGCCTGACATTTTTCCAAGTTATGTGTCAAGTGTGGAGCTGGACTTGCGTTATCTTTTCTTGAACACAGGTCACCAATGTTTCCATTTATGTTGTCATTGGATTCTTTATCTTTGGTACTGACTGTAGCTGGGGATACCACCGCTGGCGGCACGTTGTTGTTTGTGTTGGCAACAAGGAGTCCCGAGTATTTAACGCCATTTAATTCAAGGTTAACCACCAACTGTTGTTGGCCATTTTCGTTGGTACCTACATTGAACAAGAGAAGGTCATTTGAGTATTTGTATATAAATCGTGCTTCAAATTGATACACTTACCGTTGCGTGTGACGCGGAATTGCATTCCCGACAATAAATTTAAAGCATCGAAGGGATTCAATGAGGAACTGACAGCTGAAAAACTGTTTTTGCCATCGCAAATGTCGCTCGATTCACAACTTTGATGTTGACTATGTTGTTTAGACAGGTGTATCTTTTTAGTAGAGACTGGAGAAATGTGTTCATTACCACCACCCGACGCTGCAGATGTGGAAGGCGAATTTTCTATCGCCGAATCATCAGACTTATCATTGTGAACGCTGCTGTTGCTTCCGTGGTGTCGAGGCCTTACGGACATGCCATTCAATTGTTGTCTTTCCAAAGGGTCGTCATGGGATGAATTAGCCGTTGTATTGTGGTCACCTTCCTCGTCATGTTCATCTTCGCCCTCTGCATCAGAGTCTTGTGGATTGTCGGTTTTATAATGGAAGTTAACAGCCGCTGCAGCAGCGGCCATGTTAGGTGGTAGATAAAAGTTAGCAGGGAATCCGGCACGTTTCGCTGGAGGAGGTTGGTGGTGAAAATCCTGACGTTGAGTTATGTCTGGGCTAGGCTCGCGTTCACGTTCGCGCTTTATAGTAGTTACACCTGGTGGTGAATCCGATAGGTTGAGAGCTTCGCTACTGAAATAAAAAAGCTTCGTTAATTGCCAATCGTAACATGGGAATTCTTTTAGTTTTTAATAGATGGAGCAGATCAGCACTACCACAATACCATAGCAACATTGTCGCGTATTAAAACAATGTCGATGAGACATAATTATTTAAGTTATTGTAAAATACATTATCAAATTCATATTTTTGCGTTTTCAAACTTCTGTTGTTACGATATTATGTCTGTCCGTTTTACCTGTCGGTCGGTGTCCTATAGTTCTGATTACTACCAATTCAAGACTAAGACTAGACTTAGGTTGTCACTTCAATGAATGAAATTTGTTGTCAAGATTATCAATAAAAATTTAATACGAAAATCAAAGTCATGAACAAACTATTACGTATGTAAAATTCACAAATTAGATAGAATATTTTTGACATTTAATATTTCTAATGAAGTTTTTCTTATCGTCACCACTTTTTGATGCAGCAGTGTGTTTAATCTACTCGTGATGACGAGCGCCATCTATATGTTAATCTCAGACCTGTAAATATTTCGTAATTTTGGTCTTTGACACGTTTCCCCCAAAACAATGAGCGACATCTACTGTTTCGAATTGTTCGAAACGAAGTATCGAATTTGGTGAATATGTTGAATTGGATGAGAGACATCTATTAAGAAAAAAATTCGTTAGGCAATGTATTGTGATAATTTAAGCCAGCGTTTCGATAAGAACTTTCCGTTGCCTATATTTTCATTTGTCTATGCTTTTACTACCACCACCAGATAGTAAAGGGATGGAAGACTGGTAAAATTGTCAAAAATAAACGACAACCCTTTAAAATAAACCTATCAACTAACCAGAAGCCGACAATAACGCTTGTATTTGTCTTTAAAAAGTAGTAACAGAGAACATCATATTTGTTTGTGGCCAATAAATATTTACGTCCACGAGGGTATTAAAAGTTCGGCCGGCCGAACTTATTGTTTTTTACTTGTTTAATCTCCTGCGTACTATAGGGGGTATTTTAGCAATTATCACGATAGACCCTACAAAATACATATATTCTAGACCAGCGTAAGATTCTAAGCCGATTTAGCATTGTCGTCTGTCTGTCTGCTGTCTGCTGTCGTCACGCTATCTTTTGAATGAATTGAAATAAAGGGCAACAACTCGAGTTCACTTTTTCATACGACCCCCATATAACGATACCTTTCCGTGGCATTTTTACGATTTAAGCCAAATTTCCTAACTGAATTGTTTAAAATTCGGTATTTAGAGTTCGCAATGGGTTCTACATTGTCTACTTAGGTCGGCGTTTTCCTATAGCCCACATATACAGTACCTCAGTACCTCAGGTTTTCAATTCCCATCTTTCTCAAAAACTCACATTAATAAGTACTAATCAATACGCACTAAACTATTTATTTTTGAACTTTTAGTTGTTAACGCTGACAAGTTAAAATCGTTTCGATAACTTTGAACCAATGATAAAATCATACTACTTATTGGAAACTAACACACTGTCAGGTCATCACGGGCTAATTGCAGCATTTCAACACAAGCCTATTTACATTCAAAAGTCTTTATTATAAAATCTGTGGGACTTACCTGTTGTTCAACGTGATTTGCTCCTTTGGTTCCGATGCTGGGGGACTGCTGTTGTTGTGATACATTTGCCACAGAGCAACACGTGACATCTCCAAAGCATTCAGAGCTTCTGTCGGACTGATCTCTGGGCTCTGTGAACGCTGTCTCTGCTGTTGCTGGTGTTGTTGTTCTCGCTGTTGTTGTTGTTGCTGATGTTGTTGTTGGTGCTGTTGATGATGCGGTGATAAGCCCATGCCAGCCGATCCGTTGGCCATTGCATTTTGCTCTTTCTTAACTTGTATCAATTTCAAATACTCGATCATTCGCTGTTCGATTTCCTGCGTCACCAAATTTGGCACTTGACCAAATGTGGGTGCCATAAGTCTGTGGTGTGCCGCGGCGGCTGCTGCAGCTGCCTGTGCTTGTTGATTGTTAGCCGCCGCAGCATGTGTGACCAAAGCCAGAGGAGACATTTGTTGCATTCCGCCGGGCAGTGCTTGCCGTCCCAATGGAGGCTATAGTAAAAAAATCATATTATTTATTGTAATCCAAATTTTGCCTATCCCACATTTTACACTCACCATTTGCATTTGATTGTGCATTGCCTCATATTGGCCATAACTGGAACGACGACCTTCCCGACGGTTGCCATCGATGGCTGCCTGCAATTCAGCCGGTGTGCTTAAATTCTTCTTTTCGCATTCGTACGGATACAAGTATTTCATATACCTGCCAATGGAAAAATAAAAACACAAAAGATAACACATTAGTAGACCAGTTCCAAGGGATGATCTAATCGTGGATATATCTTATATTCTGTTGGATGGATGCGAATGTGGTGTTGCGGTATCGGTATTGATTGATTCAATGCATTAATTGACAACAAAGGCGTAATATTTAATGTCAAGATATAAGTGGCTAACAACAGCATCGATGCTGGCCGTCTGGCCGGCCAGCTTCAGTATAAATAGCTTGAATCGCGTACCACCTGTAGAGCACAAACAGAACTCACATCGTGGGGCCACTAAATACGGCAATCATAGCAGTTAATGGCCAGAGTTGTACTTGCTCTTGGACTTCGAAAAATACTAATAATTTTCGTGTAAAAATTTCGGAATGTCTAGAAGTAGAGACGTTCGTCGTGTGTCGATACCGTCGACATCATCTTTGTTGTTTGTTTTTCGGCATCTTGATCTACAGATGATATGAGCATTGAAAGTCCATGGGTATGTCCGTATATACACTTTGGTGTTGTCGTAGCTGTTACCACTGTTTATAATTCATCAACACATGCATGCAATATTTTGCATTTAATTCAATAAACACTCAAGAACTCAATCAATAAATAAAGTGGAGAGCAGCAGATATGTTGGCGGTAGGAATTAGTAGGTATGCTAAAGTTAAATGGAAAAAAGAGATGAGTTTATGTGCAAAGCTCTGTCGATATTCCAGCAGAAAAGGTATGTAGATTTCAAACAAATCTGATTTTTTAAATAACGACATCCCTACTTCAATACAAATTTACGATATGCTTGGATTCACATTCATTACCTGCACGGACTCGTTATGTGCTGTTAAACATAACTAAGGTACGTTGGCGTATTAAGATCCTTTGTGTGTCTGTTGGTTTGCTGGCCAGGCGAGTCCGTATATAAACACATTCTGTAAATTATCAAGTAAACATCGCCTTGCATGCCGTGTAATGTAAAAAACAAGAAGAAATAAGGTTTCATCCCGAACTGATGGCATTGTCCCAAACGCCAATAACAGCTAGGCATGATGCTAATTATTACAAGCATGATTACAAATGAGTTGTACCTCATCGTGTGTCTTTGGCAATGCGGTGCGCGCAGCATGATGGACTTGGGAAAAGGTGCCACACGATTCGGAAAAGGTTTTTGTTCACTGAACTTGTTGGAATTCTGAATTGGTATTCGTGGAGACCCGAGAAAACCCAAAATGTGGCAACAATAATAATTGTCCAATAACGAATTCATTGCAAGAGCATTAACTTCGCCTAGACAACTTTTGAAATTTACATTTTCTTACCTACCTATTGTTGGCATGTGAAGAGTCGACTCACTTTCCACAGATGAGTTGTGTACACACAAAAGCAGTGTTCCATTAGCATTTTTCAATTTAATTAACACAATTCGAAGTCAATATTTTTATTGAAATTTATACATCCACCTCTTTCATGCATACATGACCAGAGAAGGCAGGAATGATAGCGGCAGTGATCTACAGAATTGCATGTGCATTGTGTACGTGTGTTAGTCCTTAAAGAAGAGAAGAAGGCCACCACAAGTACGACGTCCATAATAACAGTTCTATTAGCATTTTGTTGTGTCACTTCATTGTAGAGAATGTTTTTCATATGAATTTTCAATCAATGCCTATCAAAATATTTACATTTTTGTTTTAAGGTGAACGTAGGGACTGCAACAATATTTGTTCAAATCTGACGAAGACTGGCTGCGGCATAACAAAAGTTAAATGGCTAACTCTTCTCCAACTGCATGAATTAAAACCAATTGAGATACACTTAAAACTGAAAATCGATTCTAAATTATGTTTCCATATAAATAGTCGCTTCAACAAAAGGGATGAGGAATTTAACGAATAAAATGATAGATGTTCTCATTTTATTTAATTTAGTTTTGAATTATGAGGGCAACTATTTTTTAAAATGGATCCACAGCGAGAGATGAAAAAACTGCAACCAATTTCAGACTGCTGTCATTTCTAAGCCTCTCGCCCGACAGCTGTTAAAATTATTCCAGTGGCATCTCATTATATTGTTTACAAACGTACAAAAGCATTTCCAGAAAAAAGTTATTCCTGATGGAATCCAAGCGTGATAGTGTGATTTCTTTATATTTGGCTGGTGGCTATCGTTAGAGCACTCCAGCATTTAAATGTGAATAAATCTTTCGTACCATTGCTCTTTACCGTGATACTGGTAGCGTAGCCCCACGTCAAGGAAGTGGACGGAAGAAAACAGCAACTTAAGCAGTAATGGTTCGAAAAGTAAAGAAGCGACTTGATCAAAACCCGCGTCGCAGTGGCCGAAAAATGACTCGTGAGATGAACATATCGCAATGTTCCATTCAGCAAATATTGAAAAATGAGCTCGTTGTCCAGCAGTTTGTAAACAAACAAAATGATCGTGTTTACTTGGCAAAGAGGTCAGCTGAAAATGTGCACCTTCGGTTGGACACCAGAACTCAAGCGCCGGCCATGGTGATGGTCTGGGCCATAACAGCCAATGGTCGTTCTCAGTTCAGTTCATCAGTATAAATGCCAAATATTATCGTGAAAATATTCTGGAGGGTGTATTAAAGCCTTGTGTACGAAAACATTTAGGCCGCAGACCTTGGGGACTCCAACAGGACTCAGCACCATCGCACTCAGTACGCGCAACAAAATGAGATTCCTCGCTTCATTTCCAGCGCACAATGGCCACCAAAATCTCCGGATATCAATCCGTTGGACTATTGTGTCTGGAGTATTGTGGAATGCAAGGTTGGCACTAAAAAATACCAAAGTGTCGATCACCTCAAACAAGCGCTTCGCCGGGAATGGACCAAAATACCGCAGAGCAACATTCGGACAGCGTATGACGGTTTCATTGGCCGTTTGAAGGCCATAATTCGTACCAAAGATGACCAATTCGAACAAATCTAAATGTATTCTAAAATTTGATGCTATTTCCGAAATTTTTTGTTTCCATTCAATAAAATTGCAAAAAACCTCACCTCACCCTGTATATTTTCATATTTCACCCACATTACCATAGCTACTGTTTTTTTTTAACGTTTAAAATATTTATATTTTTATCACATTGAAAAATATGAACGTGTCTATATTTGTGTTATGTTTTTTTCCGTTTCACTTTAATAAAAACGTGTATGTGTACCATAAACATATAATTTTTTAGCCGTTAAAAAATTAGTATGTGCCTATGTGTATGGCTGTGTATTTAAACAAATGCGCCATATTTAACACCTTTGGATACGCGCGGAGAGCTACACAACAATACAATACAAATAAAATGAAACTTTTTCATTTTGAATATCAATTGAAGTATCCACATTGAAACCATACTGCAGTATCACACGTAGTTGCGTTAGTGGTTGTTAACCCGGCATCTATGATTGTGAGAAAGCTCAGTTGTACTCGGACTCACGATACGATACACTAACTGTTTTCCAAGCAAATACCAATCGCATGGGAATTCGTTGTGAGTACCCCCCACTTGAGAGATACCCACACACCGCACAAACATTCACAATGCACAGCCCCCACCACTACAATTTGTTTATATTGTTTATTAGATTAACAAATAAAAGTGTTATTTTGCACATCAAGCACAACCATTGGTTGGGCCCCGTCGTCAAGACTTGTGTGTCTCTATGTATGTACTTGGTGTCTCAGAAATGTACGAATTGGACGGGTTAAAAGTAGACGCCATTTTTATTTGCTTGCAAAAATCACCGTTCGTCGTTATAAAATACAATTAAATGCATTTGCGATATAATAGCTTGCGTGTGTTCGTACATACATATATACATACATTTACACATATGGCAAAGTATCGTTTTTATCGCACTCTTACTAATGGTAGTACGAAAGCTTAAAATTAATGTAAAAAAATTAGTCGAACTGAAGCCATTGACATATGCATCATTCGTTCCAGCGAACGAAGCGTGTGCTTGGCGATTATTGGATTAATAAATTTACGGGTTTTCCTACAGAATATGTTTTGTTGACTTTAAGGTGTTGGTCGTGGTGATTTGGCACATTGTGAGGCATAACATTCACGACAAATATGGGATTCCAATGAGATTGACTGTCAGACGGATTGATGGCCGGTGGATCTTGAATGCAACGCTAGCGTCGCCATTCATGCACACAGACGCACAGCAAATGTGTACACCCGAACTTTTCCAATTTGCAAACATTGTATGCTCGCCATTCCGCCACAAGTACCAAACAGCTAATAAATAAGAAACGAATAAAATCTACATATGAACATACATATGTACGTGTAATAGGTATCCGGTTTGAAAATTATATTCCTGTACTCCATACGTGCTATTCGGTTCAGCATAAAATAGTGGCAGTAAAAGCATTACAAGTAACCAAACAATCGTAGTAACAAAATGGGAATGGCGAATATAAAAAAGTACGGTCGAATCCGTCACCAAAATACAATTTGCGACTAGCAACGCCCATGACGAGAATAACAAGCCAAAGCATTTCCCAGTCTTTCGCCTCTCTCGAAAGACAAATTGTCTGGCAAGGGATAGCCAGTTGCTGGGATTTGTTGAATGGCATTCGTCATGGCTCCGACGTTGGTTTTCATTTTCTTGTATTCAATATCTTTATTGCTGTCAATAGATGTGGTCTTGGTTGCGCTATACAATTGCCGTCTGCTTAAAAACCAATTCCACTGTGGTTCGGGAGAAACCCCATAATAATAATAATAATAGCTAGACCCAAACAATTCTGTTGTAACATTGACATCAGTACGGAGCGCGTCTGCATAATTTCTCCCCATTATAGTTGAAAATAATAAAATAAGGAAAACAGCTAATAAAATTAAAACCAATGGGAAGGTAATAATACGTATGTATGTGGACATAGTCCATATACATACATACATGGTCGTGCACATTGACATTATGATTCCAAAAGGCATTTCTTAGTACGTCGGCGCACATACACACATCCATACATATGTATGTACAATACACCATGTCATATTATCTATTACTACACTAATCTGTATATACTTACTGTGTTCTTAGCGTAAAAGCAGCACTTGTAATACTCGATGGCAGATGCAAGCCTTTTATGATTTCTTGCCACAACTTCTTGTTAATAACGTCGACCAAACCACCGCGAGCAATTACCAGGTTATATAACTCATAGAGATCCAAAACGGACTTGGCCATAATTGGCAATCGATTGATGGGAGTACCTGAAATAAAATTGGAAAATATGTTTACTATGCTGAAAATATGCAGCTAAAACAAAGTCAATAAATCTACGAATAATAACTAATTGTTAAAGTCGATCTGAAAATTTAAGGGTGATCCTGGAAAATGTTTACAACGCTTAAAAAAAAAAAAAAAAAAAAAAAAAAAAACAATTAATACTTAATATTATTAATTTCCCCCTGGTGTTGCCCTGCGTGGCTAAAAATACAAAGCGGCCAGAAGGTATATATCTGAAAATTATATAAATACGATTTATTAGACTTTTTGTGTATGCATTGTGGGATACTTATATTTACTCACATCGTTTATCATGATGCGTACGTGGTGTCTAATTCCCGACAATTATTTTTGTACTCTCAGGTCGTTTACGAAAGTAAATGTTTGGCTCGATTTATGATGCAATTCATCAATTTATCGATTTAATAGAAATGATTTTTTAATGACCTTTAAGTAGTGATCTCTAAACACCCTCGCGCCGAACAATTTGTAATAAAAAATCTAATTTGTAGTTTCATAATGAATGATTCTTTTATACACTTAGTGTGCCTTTGCTTAGTTGCTGCTGCTGCTGATGCCGCTACGTCGAAAGAGGATTTTATTGATTGTTTTTCTTATTCGTACATATTTTTATTTCTTTTTCTTGTTTGGCTGTACTGCAACCTGTATCTCGTGTTTCCAATTTATTTTCTTTTTGTTTTAGCATTAGCATTGCGATCGGACCATTTGGATGGGTAGAAATGCCCCAAAGGTATCAATCAAAATATTTACTCGACATTCGACAAACAGTACTCTGGCACATACCAAAACAAAATAAAACTCAAACGGCAATGATGATGGACATGTTGATTGTGGAGTGTAACAGCTATACGGCGAACGAAAAAAAAAAAAAAAACAGAAAAGTGCAAAACCAGGGCGAAGACCAAACAATCCATATCGAGAATTGTTTATGGGTAGGTATAAACAATAAGGTTAGCCCTTTCATAATGACGATACACGGCAAAGGGGAAGTAGTTTAGTAAGAATACTATTTGCATTTGTGAAATGCAACTAAGAACCGGTAGATCATTTAAATTGAATTGACTTTGAATTGAAGGAGAAATTCTAGGACTTCATATTTTACACTTTTTTGATTAAAAATGGAAATTTAATATTCTGTTATAGTCGATAAATAAACATGTTCGGGGACATTGCTGGATTGTATTTCAAATGCATGTTATCGTAGGCAAATGATGAGCGACACTAAAGATGGATGAATGAATGAATTGAGGTACACGTTGTTATTCATTTCAATGAGTATTTAACTAAACTGCTGTCATCATTACCTTGGTGGCCCAACAAAGGGTGGGGAACCCTGAACTACATAATGGCATAAAACAAGATGTGAAACATATGTTTTAGAGTATCTTTCATACGATACCAAGAGATGCATTTGTTACTCGCTTATATTCGATTTTGATGTGGCACACACATCAACTATTTTCTCGGAACACTAGTTTGTATCACCGAAATTACGATGGCCTCTAACAACGTATACAACACAATGCATTGATGATGTGCGGCTCTTTGTCATATCGATCGAAATGTCAAAATGACATTTTGATAGGTGAAAATAATTTTGGAGCTATGACTTGGGGCTGCACCATCAAATAATGCTCTTTCGTCTTGTTTGCTGAGACCGGTGGTCCATGTTTTCCACTTAATGTTAAATAATTTAATCTGCGACACTACGCAATAAACTATACCACAGTTCTTCTATTACGAAAATTATTTTCAAATTCATCAAATGTCATAAAAATTTCAAGATTTTAGAAATAAATGTTTGTGATGTGACACACCAACTGATGGATGCAACATTTAACGTCTGCTGCAAAACGCTGCCATGGTACGCACTTACACGACGACATATGAAACTGAATGGAACATGAAATTAGAGATCAATTTTGTAGTGGATGTAGACGAAACTGTATGTACACATGTCATTTTCTGGAAATTAGATTTTATGGTTCCTCGTTCTAAACAGCAAAAATGAAATAAAATTGAAATCTGTACAAATGATAATAAAAACTGCACACAGTTTGTCAACTAAATGTTTGCAAAGGATGAATTTTTATTTAACCGTTATGCAATGCGACAGAAAATAAATGCAATTGGTGCAAAAATCAATAAAAAATAACAACAAGTAAGTTTGTCTGATTATTTGAACAATAAAATAGCAAATTTATGAGTTTTATTGTACAAAGAGAAGTACACCTAAGTCTGTTTTTACACGGTCTTTTTGTACACGGTTTTGATATAACACGGTTTGAAAATTGAATACTTTTAATTTATTTACACGATTTTATTCCATTTAGCACGATTTGAAATTTTATGTACTTAAATTTTTTTGTCAAATTTAATTTTTGCGAAGTATGCTCATATCACAAAAAAGTATTTATGAAAGAAAAAAAGTCTGAAACCATCGATAGTATCGATAGTTTGCGAACACTAGCTTAAAGATTTAAGTGAATTCCTCTTTAGCGCGTACAAACAATTTTTACTGGTCAAAGCAAATGTGAATAGCACTATGTGCATACAATAAAATTTACTGCTCAGAGCAATTGAAACGTGTTAATATTTTGAGAACTGTTAATGCAATAAGACGTGTTTGGTAAAGAAAAAAATAAAACTTCTTGTTTTTCACTCATTTTAATAGGTTTTAGAGATTAGGAACAAATCACCCATTTTTGTATAAGATCAATGTCTTTTTTACACGGTTTTTTTTACACGGCTTCTTCTGGAACCAATCTACCGTGTAAAAACAGACTTAGGTGTAGTGCCTTTGCGAGTAATCGAATAATTAACTGTCGTGGGTGTGACAGCGACTTTATATTTTATGACGCGAAACATATTTCGGGTAATATGCAAAAAAATGAACCAGGAACCTAATAAATAAATTAGAAATCTATGATAGGCACCATGGTACAATAAGGAGGTAGAACAGCTTCGTAAAACTACAGAAATACAGCCCTGACGCTATGTCCGCTTCCTGTCAAATTTGCACGTAAGAAGTTGTTTCCATTTATTGAATATTTTTCCTCATTCTTAAAATAAGTTAAAGAGCTGGAAAGATGAATGATATGCCGGGATTTTCGATCACAAATATGATCTAAACACGTCTATCTTTCAATTCCATGGCAAAACTGGCGAATAGCTTTACGCGTCTTCCAAACATTGATTTTGAAAATTTTCTGTTCTTATTTTCAAAACAATAAATACATACATAAAATTGGCAGAAGTCGGGCACACTTAAAAAAATTGTAGTCAGCTGGTAGCTCTACCCTACCTTTTTATTGTACCATGGATAGACCCCAGACCAATACCAGAGCACCGGTATAAGCGAAATTTAGGTTATTCGATTACGACGGCTCTCAATAGTGTGGTGTCATGCGTAGGTGTTTCAAACGACAGTTTTTACTTTTTCACATTTTTGTGATCTTCCGGTATGCATTTCTGAATTGTTGGTTAGTTTTCAAATATCTGGGACATCCACGTAGTGTCGCAAAAAACCAGTTCAAAAAACCGAATATTATTATTTATTGACAAATTAAAATTCATTATCTCAAAGATCAGCAAAATTTGTTGAAATTAATACACAATCTTCTACAACTGTATCTAAAGTATGGGTATGGAACAATTAAACGATATCCATCTATAAGGTTCGTTTCAAACATATTCTCATCTTAAAACTTTCCACTCAAACCTATCAGTCATCTCCAGACAAATCGAGACGCTAGTCCCAACTAGTAGGAACTGTAAAATTACATTAAAAAGTAATGATAAAAACACTATTGGAATGTGATGTACTTTAACATGTTTATTTAATTCCAAGACGTTTTAAAGCTGTATCCGAAGCTGAAGCGAGAATACTTTCAGATATACATGAACCAATTGTACAATAAGGAGGTAAAACAGCTTCGTAAAACTAAAACAGAAATACAACTCTAGGATTAAGCCCGCATACTTTCAGAATAATTAATTATAATATGCAACAAGTCGTTTTCATTTATTTGATATTTTCTCTAATAATAAAAAATAAAACGCCTGAATTTTGTTTTGAAAATTTGATCTAACTGTTCAATCTTCCTACCTACCTCCAAATACAATTTTTTTCTTTTGGTGCCCTTGTTCTGTCAATATAAGAATTGTGTTAAAAAATGAAAAATAAACAAAACCAACTGTTGCATATTTAAAAGTCTATTTGACATTATAAGACTTCAGCACAGAGTTGAATTTTTCTAGTTTCTTTGAAGTTGAGCAATCTTTCTTATTGAGCCATGGGTACACTTAGAAAAAAATTGAAATCGTCTGGTAGCTCGAACCCAAATAAAAAATACGACTTTTTATGTGGCTTCTATAAAATTCTATTGACTTGGAGAAGAAAATAATAACAAATTTAAATAATTGAATTCCGAGTTGCGGTTCTTAATAACTTAACGAATATTTTCCACTCAGAATTTTCAAATGCCACTGTGTATTTGTACGAAGATCGTTCATTTAAATTTGATTTCAAAATGTGAATTTGACATTTAATTAACATAATTTGTGTAATTAAAACACCCACGAAGACAGAAAAACAATAAATGGAGAACGACGTTCCTGATTGTGTTTTCTTTATTTTCTGTTTATAGTCAAAGTGCCACCGTTCACAAACTGGGTGCATTTTCGGTTGGCTGTTATGTTAAACGCGCTGCCATGACAGGCAGTGGCAGTGTGTACGCTTGTGTTTTTATGACATGCCTTGTGAAGTGACGAATCGTTCAAGTGTTGATCATGTCATTAGCAATCATTGTGACGTTAATATTCTTGAGAGTTTAATGAAATCGTAAGACCGAGCCCCCTTCCTCTTCTTCCAACAGATACCATGAGCCCAATCCTGCCTGTCGCCCCAATAATGATGGTTTGATGAATTCAAATACAAGACCAAAAAAGATCTTGCGGGGTAAGAAAGCCATGCTGCATATGACCAGAGTGGTAGCAGTCATGATGTTGATGATGATGATTCGTAAATAATAAAAGTGCCCCACCACAGTCACTGTTTATTCGATGTCGTTGCGATGCAATGCAGTAGTCACTCGTGTGTCTTAATATGTGGCTGCGATGTATGGTTTTCGAATGCATTATGCGGTCCTCCTTAGATGGTTTTTGTTTATTGTACGAATGCAACAACAATAATATTTAATGTATTTATAAATAATTTTTATTGCCAGTCATAACACTCACAATAAAAGTCCAAGAAATGCTTCAGAAGACGCCATTAAATAAACAACATTAACGTTTACTCATATTGATATTTCCGTGACATCACTCCCTCTGCCTCCCTCCCATGCTGGCAATCGGTCTTTTTGACACTTTGTTGACAATTAATTAAATTAAAGATTCTCCGTCACTCAAAATGTTTTATGTATGTCGAAAAGCCCCTCAACACGGCCATTGTGTAAATCTATGCAAAGATCTGATACACAATATTACAACAACGAATGTTGGACAGACATTGAACTCAATACTCTCGTGTACACTACGATTCTATTAGTTAAAACAATATGTTTATTAGCTTTAACTTACCTCTTTTTTGCATAAACGAAAATAAATCATCAAGGAACTCTTTACGTTTTGGATCATCGCTGATTTCGTACAACTGCAAAGAAGGAATAAACAAAAAAAGAGTATTATTCGAAAGAAAATAGGTGCAATTCAAATATCGAAAAAAACAATGCATTCAAGGGAGGGCCCAAAACAAATAACATTTTGACACTACGTTAACATCCTCCATAGCCGAAAACAAAGACTTCATAAATCCCAATGTGTTTATGGGTTTGAGACAATGAATTCACAATGAATCGGCATTATCCGTCTCGATTTCCTAACAAGCTAAGCCGTCGTTGTTTATGCCGATAACAAAGATACCTATCAATCGGAGTGGCATATAATGTGTGGCGTGTGCTTCAGGTTACATTGTTTGTGCCCACAAACACCCAGGGTGGTGTTGATAATAAGATCTTGAATAGCCAATGTCATAGCATGAGATCATCGCACCCGGCACAGTATAGGACACGGAGATCTTTCATCTCGGTTGGTTGTCAGCAACGAATGTCTCTCAAAGGATAATTATGCATTCAATAACAACATTATTGTCTCTAATTAGCTGTGTGTGATATTCGCCACTGTCGGCCTGACCAGTGTGGTACGATCTCCCAGGTACAAATGGTTTATTGTGTGATAACAGCGTTTTAAGAGGGATATACAAGATTACCAGCCCAGCCACAACACTCCACACACATATTTGCATTTAAAAATTTGTATACTTTTAACACATGGTACTGATTCCTAAAAAACAATTCATGTGGCTCATTCTGTTCAACAAAATCGAAAACCTGTGCTTAGCTACTGGTCATGAAAAAGAGTTGGAATGCACGCACATCATTATGTATATTCAGATGACTATAATTTTGCAACCAGTGTTTAAGTTAAAAAAAACGTACACTCTTCAACAAAAAAACGTACAATCTTCACCAAAAAACGAAACAGAAGACAACAACGACGAAACATGGCATTGGGCTAAGACCTTTCGAAGCGCCAATAAAACGTAAAAAAGATTTTATATAAGCGTTTAATGACGTGAAAAACGAAAGTATTTAAGCAATTGTAATTGTTGTACAACTTCCATTTAATTAATTTGATATCAGGACCAGACGAAGGGAGTAAAAGCGTTCATAAAGAATTTTATCATAGTTTTCTAGTCGAGATTTAAGCCTTTCTCACTCCATGTTTAAAACAATTGTTCACTATTATTTTGAATAATACCAAACTAACAAATTAAACCATGTGCTCTGAGTATTCATTGTGTTAACGACTTAAGATGGATGGCAAATGGTTAAGAAATAATCAATATGGAGGCCTTAACGGATGAAAATAAATTAATCAAATGTAATTTTTAACCGGATCCCAGACCTGAACAAAAGAAACGTTCAGTTCTAATCTTCAGAGTGCCTTTGGGTGGAGTCATCGCATAAACGGCTAGATGTAGAATACCAATGAAGATGCGTTGGGAATTTAATTAAAAAATGAAATAAAAATGCTTCCACTGCCTTCAGGAAAAAAGTGTGTATGGGCATGTTTGACTTGATCGATCGATTGCTGGCCTGTTTGCTTGCAGCCGCCATATTTAGGGTTAAGAAGATCAATAAAACATTTGAGTGTAGTGGAACGCAAAAATATTGTGCCCATGAGGACCATCGTTAGAGCTGGATTTTTTAGGCGAATGATTGAATGCTTTCAACTCCCTCTTAATGATTTTTTAGAAAAAAATCCACAATTTTTTTAACATGTGCTTTTGTTTCCTCGCCTTAGCCCAATGTAATGGATTCGCAATGCAAGAAAATCGCTTAACATTGTTGAGGTTGTTCCGTCTAGACCACAGCATAAAACGTTATTTATTTAATGCACCTCAAAAACTGCATCTGCCGGTGTAGATGATAGCCATAAAGCCAAATGCAGTTGATGAGAAAAGTCTGGATGTGAATCCCAGTCAGATGGATACAGAATTTGGCCGCATACGCTCGCAAACATCGTTTTACTTCTGTTGGTTTTGTTTTATACATTATTTTTACTATTTACCGGCTACATATCCTGCTTTGTAGGCGGAACAGTGTGATATCAATCAAAAGTGGGTAAGCATCCATCTCATTCGAAAAATGCTCCAAAAGATGTTAATGGTTTGGATGTGCCCCTTTCTTACCTCTTGAATTTGATCCTCAGATATCAACATTTTGTTTAGGAGAGCTTATTAAGGTTTTGGAACAATGGAGTTAATATAATGTAAATCCAACAAAATATAAAAACTTCGCGCCTGGTTTTGCTTAATAACTGTGTTTTTTCTTCTCCTTCTTCTTGGTTAAATGTAAAATCACATATTTGTCCAATCACTTAAGTCAATCAATGTCTTTTATGCACCATAACACGAATTTAATTTTTTTTTAACGTTTGGCTTATTCGCATCACTTGGTGATGCTCTCAAAATATTCGTATTTTTATTTATTGTCGCGCGATTGTAGTATTATCCGCTTTTAATGGTCCAATGATGTTTCAATATCAAAGGTCTTTAATCGACTAAAAATAGAGAGACATACGCACAATCAACCAAATATCACGATGACGACGTCGACGATACTCTCAGTGCCTTCAAAGAGCAGGCACACAAACACATTCACACACACTTTAATGAGCGCACGCACTTTCCATTCGATACATAACCCACACACACACTCGCATGTTTCATTTTCTTTCTAATCGCACACACACACAATCGGACAAACTGAAAAATATTCATGTTTGACCTGAGTTTAGTTGTAGTGGTGTGAATTTATCGAATCGAAACATTATTACTTATTACTTTTTTTTAGGAATCGACGATGGTAACGGACAAACAAGCAGGGGACAAATGATATTAATGATCTTGCAACAACAACCCCTGTTGTATGATAACGACACACTAAACCTGCTTTTGAGTACAGAGTATGACATATCCCAACAACAACAGCAACAACAAAGCAAACAAAATAAAAAGAGCAGAGAGGATTATAGCGACAACAACAACAACGATTTTATGTATCAGAGATAGGGGAAAATTTAGACCAATCATAAACGAATCAAGTAATAAACGTGTTGATTGTGTGTATGTATGTTGCATATATGTGCCCACCTCTTACGTATCTAAAGGGAGTTATTGTTGTTATTGGTTTCATTTCAAAGCCACTGTTGCTACTTAACCACTCAACCAGACAAACATCGTATATTTATGTGTATTAATGTACAGCCGCTAATCTGGGTAATTCGCCGCAGAGGATCAAGAGAAATATTTAACCATAAATGTGGTAGATATGAATATTCTTGGAATATTCAAATAATAATCCCGTTTGCTCAGTCTATTTATTTTTTATTAGAGCCTACCTACTCTGACACTCTAGGTTGTTTATGTACATATGTGTGTACATAAAATGGACTCACGCACATGTTATGGATTTATGACCGTTTGCTCAGTAAATTAATTGATGTCCATATATGTATGTACCTACATATCCTCTAGGGGGTTGAAATTTTGTTACTTATTTACACACACACACAATGTTTGTTAGATGTAGATCGTCATGTATTAACATGTGTCATTTGTGCATATTTATTACGCTTTCATACGAATTCAAGTAGCAAATTGTTACCATTCCCTGGAAGTCAGTCTGTCCGCCCGCTCATCCTTGCAGTAAGTATTTGTTTTATGTTTTCAATGAGCAGAAGGAAGAAAATAATCAGCAATGATAGCAAGGAGTGGGAAATGTGTTACAAGATTTTGTCAGTAAATGACCAAGTCCGCCACTTCAACAAGATCATTTTACCCGTACAGATTATCTAGACAAACATGTGTTGGATATGCCTTGAATCGGAAAAATCTAATTTCAAAAACATATCACAATCATTCTCACTATAATGGAAAATTGAGATCATAGAAAGTTGTTATTGAAAATTCCAAAGGTTGTTGATTGAAATTCGATATCAATAACAAAACTCAGCAAACTGTAGTTCACTTTAAACGTTTTATTTATTGGGTTTCCTGCTGCTGATGATGGTTCGGCCGAAAGTTGTCGGCAATTCAAACAATATGTAAAGTTCTATGGTCATTTTGTATTGTACCTTTATCAAAAGCTTATGGTTGTCATAATGTGTTCACGTTACTGAAAATTCACCGCTCCTCAATAGAATGTTTTAAAGCTACGATTTTAAGAATTTGAATAAAATTTGAAATAAAATTATTTAAAATGTTTTGTCAAATTTTATTTATTTTTAATTTTGGCAGTTTACGTGGGTTTGCAACCAAATCGATAAGAAATTATAGTGAAATTTGAAATTTCAAAATGTCAATAGATCACTCACTATTACATATAGACTAAAGTAGTCATTTTATTCTTGCAACAATTCAGTTTTTTTATGCAACAATAGCTATATTCACATTGTTAATTTGACAAATTTGGCACAAAATTAAACATTATTTGTGGTATTTCCACTGGTTCAAAAAATGTTAAATATATTTTCATAAACTGAAAACATCTATTTTATTTGGTTCTTCAATAGGTTTAAACCGTATTTTGAATATACATGTACAAATATACGTACATTAGAATGATTACTATAATTATTAACCCCGTGAATTTAGCAGAAGAGAAAGGGTACCTTACAATTAAATATTAGCGGTACAGCCCATGGAAATTCCACGTAAATTCTTTGCTATTTTAACAAACAGACACTTTAATGCAAATGTACATTCTAAAGACCATTGAGGAAATTCCATATTTTATAGAGATAAGTAAACAAGTTAAATTTGTGTAAATTTTTGGATGTATGTATTTAAATTTATTGGCTGTTTTCGTGATTACAACGTAAATGACAAATTTTATTTTTATGACAATTTTAAATTGTAAGGAGTTGTTCAACTCGCCCAAAAAACATTACACCAAGTTAAATTTGTGTAAATTTTTGGATGTATGTATTTAGATTTATTGGCTGTTTTCGTGATTACAACGTAAATGACAAATTTTATTTTTATGACAATTTTAAATTGTAAGGAGTTGTTCAACTCGTCCAAAAAAC